TTGGAGATGGAGCAAGCTTTCCCTTTGTTCGTCATGAAAAGCTGAATATGCCTTCCGCAGATTCAATTGGAGATAGACAAGAAATATTCCATGAACAATTATATCGGGAAATCAAGAGAAAATTGTTTTTTGGTCGAAGGGATGATCCAGCTGTACGCATAGAGCTTAGGRTTGAGCCAGATGTGTTTGAAGGAGGACTTGCCACAGTAGTAAGAGGTATTAAAGAAAGACAAAAGACTATTTACAGGCTACCATCCAACAGACTCATTGACAATTTCCTTGGTAAAAAGTGGGATGAGCGCATTTTTAATGGTAATGGAGACTTTGCCTTTGTAATTAAAGGAACAATTCGCTACTGGCTTTCAAAATCTAATCCTATAGTAGGATATAAGTTAATTGGAGATCAATATGTGAAGTCTGAGATTGAAGAAAGAAATTTTATTGTATTTACATTTGTTCGTGGTGATGGAAATCGTTACAATTACAGTACATTTAGTTCATAATACTAGAAATGACTTGAGAAAAAGTATTTGATGAAACATAATTACATAATTATAGATAAGAATTAACAACAATAGAGTAAGTAAAAATACATTTCTTTGCCAATAATTAATAATTTTGGTATAAGATTATACTTAATATATACATATTTTTTTAGAAGCAATATAATAGTCTGAAGAAGCAATATTTTTTACTGTTGTTTTGATTGCAATATAGCTCTACATTGATGTTTTGATTTATATTAATGAAGATTCAGAACATCATTTTTGATACAAGGTATGTTTAAATATCTAGCACATTAACTGTTGCGTTAGAATGTTGATCATCACAGTGAATACCCTATACCCAGTGAATAACCTATTAAAAACTTTATTGTGCAATTAGGCATTTTTTTGTCCATACATTATTTACTCTCTCAAGATGTGCACAACAAGTTTGAAAGCCACAGTTTGCACATTTCTCAGTGCAAGTCTTAATATTATGGCAGCTTTTTGAGCAGTTTTTACATTGATATGTGGCTTTAACTTTCTCACAGCCTTCTGCTTCAAGGAAGTGAATTCTGTTTTTCTTTAAAAAGAGTTGTTTCAGAGCAGAAATACCTCTATGATTGGTAGATCTAAAATAATTTTTTGAAGCAGTGTCATTAAATTTTTCCATCCCTTGTTGTGTAAAATATGCGAGATTCTTGTACAGTGATAAGAACTCAGGAACATGGGCATACAGCGCATGCATATAGGGTGTCACATCTTTTGCCTGATACAAAGAGAGAAATAAGGAGAAGAAATTTCTGATTTTGCATTTCA